AGACTTTTTTGATTTGTTTGGATGGAATTTATTTTCACTGATTTTTGACGAGTTGAATGTAAAATATAGGAAAAAGGTATATTCACTGGGTTTTATTTTCACTGAATCACTCAGCAAAAATAGTGAAAATAAACTATTAACAATAAAGTGTTTAACAGTAACCTAAATACAGAGTGTGTGATTTATGCATTAAATGCGATTGAAATGTTCACTCATATACATCACTGGTCCTATCACCATTTATAACAAATGATTGGTCTTATTCAGCTGGCAGTTTTGTAAACAATAACTGGTCTTATCCACCCATCAGTGTTGTAAACAATAACTGGTCTTATCCACCCATCAGTGTTGTAAACAATGTGATCAAGATTACATGTGTTTACTATTATCAAGAATCATGTCAAAATCCATTTCCTGTCCCGTGATATTATTAATGTGAAGGCAGCCAGTAAATTTACTTGACCCATTTTTACAACAAATGCCAACGGCCTTTTTTACATACAAGCACCTGCACAATGCATCCAAAAATAGGTCACACCAAAGTAACTGATAATAGATAATATCAATAGTTTTTTGTTTTTTTTTGTACTCATTTATATTTTGAATATTGATACACATTTTGAGAAGGCTAACAACTTTATTTTTGTTATTAAAAATAAAGAAACATGTTATACTATTAACCGTTTCATTATTTTCACTAATACATGTAGGAATTTTAACGATTTTAACTCATCTGTTTAAAAAAACAAAATTTTTCCAATGTCCACCATGGTTTTCCTCTAGGATTTTACTCAAAATGCGCAATAAAGGAAATAGGCATCTAAATTGTGTTCTTTCGCACACAATATTTAGAAAAGTAGACAGCTGGTGAGTAATTATAGACAAGACTAGAATGTTAATTAGCCTGTAAACCCCTGACCCATCCACATGTATGTATGACACACCTTGTAAAAAAGCACAGTAAACCAGCATGCCTTATATAAAAAATTAATGATTCATGTCACAAGAACATCTATATGTACATGAACCAGACAATTCAGCCATAGCATAATAACCATTTTGAATATTTATACTATAGTATTGCTATATGTATATGCAGAGACAAAATCACAAATTTAAACGGATCGTTGACTTTTTAGATTCTATAGCACTGCTGCAAGAATTAATATATACAGCAATCAATCACTCAATATCTGTAATAAATATAGTCAGATATGAACTATACTGAACCAATCCAATTTATTATATATTGGATATCATCTAAATATGATTAGTTTTCTATTAGATGTGTAATGGCCCATTCCTCAATTATTGTAAAAGTACAATGAAATGATCTAGCGAGGATTGATAACATCACTGAAATCCTGCTGCAATAAAATACTTCTCAATAATAATGTTTCCAGGCAAAACTACTTGGTAATATTGGTTGCCCAAGGCAAGTAAGCTTCTTTTTGTAATGTGATGCAATCATACAGGATCTATATGTTGTATCGTAGGATGTCATGTCACTAGGCAATACACAGTGTGAATTACATCATAAAATGGATGGAATTGATCCAACACAGGAGTTGTCACGATACGTAGGCATAGTGGGTCCAATTATAACAGAATGACATTTATTTCTAAGATACAGGTCCAGATGCATGCATGTACGGACGCACGGAGGTCAAAACACAAGTCCCCGTTTTTGGACTGTGAACTGGGACTAAAAATACCCAACTAAGTATTTTCAATACTTTCAAAGACAAACAAAATATTCCAGAAGCAAATATATATTCTTTTAATGAGGGGTAAAATCAAGAATTGATGAGCAAATGCTTTTTTTAAAAAGAAAATGCATGAATGAAGATGCCAAATAGTTAATCAGATACAGTAGATATAAAGGTTTGCCACAACCAACCTTCACACAAATCATGTAAATTTCACATAACCTTAATGTCTAAAAAAATGAAAAAACTAAAAGTAATGACTTGATTAAAAGCTAAATAGGCTGACGGAGTATGTATTTCACAAAGCAAACAATGGAATGAAAAGAATATTCACAGTAATGAAATAATGGCATCATCACTGGGTTGATGCATAATGGAAGCATCACTGAGTTGATGCATAATGGCAGTATCACTGGGTTGATGCATAATGGCACCATCACTGGGCTGATGCATGATGGAAGCATCACTGGATTGATGCATGATGGAAGCATCACTGGATTGATGCATGATGGAAGCATCACTGGGTTGAAGCATGATGGGGCATCACTGTGTTGATGCATAATGGGAGCATCACTGGGTTGATGCATAATGGGAGCATCACTGGGTTGATGCATAATAGCACCATCACTGGGTTGATGCATAATGGCACCATCACTGTGTTGATGCATAATGGAAGCATCACTGGGTTGATGCATAATGACACCATCACTGGGCTGATGCATAATGGAAGCATCACTGGATTGATGCATGATGGAAGCATCACTGGATTGATGCATGATGGAAGCATCACTGGGTTGAAGCATGATGGAAGCATCACTGGGTTGAAGCATGATGGGGGCATCACTGTGTTGATGCATAATGGGAGCATCACTGGGTTGATGCATAATGGCACCATCACTGTGTTGATGCATAATGGCACCATCACTGGGCTGATGCATAATGGAAACATCACTGGGTTGAGGCATGATGAAATCATCACTGGGTTGATGCATATTGGCAGCGTCACTGCATTAATGCATAATGGCAGTATCACTGGGTTTATGCATAATGGAAGCATCACTGAGTTGATGCATAATGGCAGTATCACTGGGTTGATGCATAATGGCACCATCACTGAGTTGATGCATAATGGCACCATCACTGGGCTGATGCATAATGGAAGCATCACTGGATTGATGCATGATGGAAGCATCACTGGATTGATGCATGATGGAAGCATCACTAGGTTGAAGCATGATGGAAGCATCACTGGGTTGAAGCATGATGGGGGCATCACTGTGTTGATGCATAATGGGAGCATTACTGGGTTGATGCATAATGGGAGCATCACTGGGTTGATGCATAATAGCACCATCACTGGGTTGATGCATAATGGCACCATCACTGTGTTGATGCATAATGGAAGCATCACTGGGTTGATGCATAATGGCACCATCACTGGGCTGATGCATAATGGAAGCATCACTGGATTGATGCATGATGGAAGCATCACTGGATTGATGCATGATGGAAGCATCACTGGGTTGAAGCATGATGGAAGCATCACTGGGTTGAAGCATGATGGGGGCATCACTGTGTTGATGCATAATGGGAGCATCACTGGGTTGATGCATAATGGCACCATCACTGTGTTGATGCATAATGGCACCATCACTGGATTGAGGCATAATGAAATCATCACTGGGTTGATGCATATTGGCAGCGTCACTGCATTAATGCATAATGGCAGTATCACTGGGTTTATGCATAATGGAAGCATCATTGGGTTGATGCATAATGGAAGCATCACTGGGTTGATGCATAATGGGAGCATCACTGGGTTGATGCATAATGGAAGCATCATTGAGTTGATGCATAATGGAAGCATCACTGAGTTGATACATAATGGAAGCATCACTGGACTGATGCATAATGGCAGTATCACTGTGTTGATGCATAATGGGAAGCATCACTGAGTTGATGCATGCACAATGGAAGCCTCTCTGAGTTGATGCATAATGGAAGCATCACTGGGTTGATGCATGCATAATGGAAGCATCACTGAGTTGATGCATAATGGGAGCATCACTTGGTTGATGCATAATGGAAGCATCACTAGGCTGGTAGATCTAGCATTTATAGTGACTGTTGCTTTGATAATTCTTTGTGTTTATTTTAGGGCCAACTTATTGGATCCTCATAAACATACAATCAATGAGGAACAGGAAGTGAGTATTGCATGCATTTTGTGTTTTTTTTAAATATAGGAATAATCTCGCTCATTATGTTTATGCAATGAAACCTTTACAAGCATCCATAGTTTTCTGTGACTATTGGTTATAAACAGGTTTGAATCATGCGAGATCTTCATCGCATAATATTGTACACAGATATACAAGTAACATACTCTTATCCTATAAATCTTTGATATACCGGTATATATATATATATTACGTTATATTTATTACATGACGGCAAGTTTAATACTAAAATCTATTTACATCAACACGAGTTGACCAATTAGAAATGTATCTCAAAAATTTACAACATTAAAATAACAGCTAAATAGAGTGATCATCAAATCAAATCATGGATGGGGTAATTCATACACATGGCAATAATTATCATTGCACAAGTAGATGGTTACAATAGTCAGACAAAAGGAAATACTAGTACAAGTAGGATTTTCTGACATTTATATAAATGTGTTACACATTCCGTGTTATGTTTTAGTTATTTTTGGCTTGGTCAGCAGTCTTGAACCAACTGAATCAACATCAAGTAATAAAACAGTTGTGTACTGATATTAATTAAGGTTTGCTAAGGTAAGGTAGGTAAGTTAAGGTGACATTACTGAAATAAAACACAGATGGACACACAAAGGAATTCAGTGTTTTGGGGGCAAAACAAAATAGGTGGTGCAAATGATTGTTGACATATACATTGTTCTCTTTAAGTGTTGTATTGTGGGGGTGTGGCGGCCACATACATTATATCAATATATTATATGTATATTATAGAAAATTTTCCAGAAGAAGAAAATGTTAACTTTCGAATCGGATGTGAAAAGACTAGTGAACATACACTGTAACCTCAATTGAATCTCTGCACACGCGACACAATATAATTGTTAATAAATTATTCCGTGTAAATTCCCTAAATGCATATTCCCTGAAAAACTACTACTAGACGTATTAAAATAAATCTACTGAAGAAATACACATTGGGTAATTTTGAGTAGTACACACAGTTTCGTGTGTGCTTGAAAAAAGCCTGATATACGTGTGAGCCGTGCAGAACCCAGTAACCTACCGTATCAGAATCCGCCGCTTTAAAGACGTGACACGTAAAGTCTGCATCTGAATTTACCCTAAATAAATACGTAAAACAGGTCTTGTCTCTTTGACATCGTGAAATCCTCGAAATTCCTTGTAGTCGATGCTCGAATAAAATAGCTCCGGACCCTTCATCGATGCACAATATGTTTTTTGTCGACACCTGGACGACAATGTTCCGTGTTTGTCCAAATCGCCGCACTTCGGCCATAATCCATGGCAGCATTGGATGCGTGAACCGTCGATCGAGAGACTGTTCACCAAAGTACGAAAAGTTAAAAGTCATTTTATCGCAAGCCTCTGGTTGTTCTGTAGACGACATGGATTGGCTTGAAGAGGACGTTGATATGTTGTCCTTTTCCATGTCGCCATCATTCAAACGGTCCAGTTCGATGCCACTGCTTGTTGTGGTGTCGGTAATGTTTTCGACATTTTCCTGATCGGACACATCTTGTGGACTGACCTTGATCTGGGCATTATTAGCTGAATCTAGACTCATTTTGCCTTCTACGGCTCAGAAACGATTCACAATAAAATTGTTACAGACAACAAAGTTTGAATGAAACTACTGCATAAGTGAATCCGTGTAGCTCCACCGCCATCATCTCCCTGAATGACATCAAAAGCCACCTAACTTATGGTTAATTGGAAATGCATTAGATAAAAGAAGTCTTTTATTCAAGTTTTGTAATTGCTACAAAATTACGCGGTTATGGTCCAATTAAAATGATAATTATTAGCTAGTAATTATTATAATTTTGATTTTAAATGCGCTAAATCATCGTGACGTTTTGCGAGGCAGTTTCTAAGTATAATATCCGATGTACTGAGGAGTCTTGTTTTTCACTTCGACCTGTTTCGCTGGCAGCTGAGACCCAGATAAACACTGTCATAATGCGAAAATGTGCCATGAGATCTCACAATACGTACATGCAGTAAAAAGTGTGCCATGCTTGTCACACAATAGCTGGTTGTTGGTTTACGGGGTACGTATAAAATGATAGAAAATTGCAAAACAAACTCAGAAATCAAAAAGTTGATCGAGTTTCAGTTGTTTGCTTCACAAATATTCAAAACGGGTATAAGTGTTCCGTCAAATTGTCATGACATTTGGTGATAGTGTTATTTATAGCAGCTACACATTGTTTACCCTTTATAGTTTAAATACAAATGCATTCAGAGGTACTCCATGTACTAGTATTTGATTTCGTTGTTATGACTCACGTTAGGACTACAATAACCTCGCCTCAGTGAAAACAATTGCCAAGATTGCAAAAGCAATACAAATTTAGCTCAAAGCCACTGGAAACAGGATAACTTTGGAATATTTTATAGTAACGATTTGTACTTTATAAAATCACACCACTGTTCACACATTGTTCGCTGTTCAGTTGTGTTTTTGTAAACATCTCCCTTGTTAGGGTTAAGTGAATGGATAAGAAAAATATTTAGATAAAAATAAATCGTAGTATCCTTAAAAGATGTTCACCACTGCAACATCAAAAGGTTGAAGGGAACCGCATTGGGCTAACTACCATATTAACCATGTCTTATTATATATAAGGTGGCCTTATTTGCATTACATCATTCTCATACAACAACAAAAGCAGAAGCAGCTATAGGGAGGTAACAGCATTGTAGTGCCAGGCTGCGTGTCGACATTAACGGTCGCTGCATATTAAACATGGTTGTTATGTTGGAAATGTGGTTGTCGTGGTGGATACAGCGTACGTACGTGATCAACACGACGATGACTATTAGTGGCAGTTGGATAGTATTTCTCGAACTTAAGTTGCTTGATTGTTTCGAGTTTTCTGAATGCTTTTGCGCAACAATGTCCCCATGTATCGAATATTGGGTATAAGCCAGAGCACAGTCCCTCTGAATAGAGGGACTATGCCTAGAGTAATGATCAAATGTTATCAAACTCCGGGGGAGGGGGGATTTTCACCTTGCACGGATGACGGGCAGTGTTCGAAATTATTGCTTGCGCATCCGCTCGAGAAAAGTAACTTTTTACCCAGAGTTGAAGAAATACGGACTGGTAATGCAGCCAGGTAGTATTTTCGGTATTGTTGTATTTAATGCCCATTTCCCTAAAACGTCAAAACGTTATATAAGTATTTGTGGTGACTAGTCAAAGGCGGCGGCACCAAATTGTGCACGAGGCGGCGAGATTTGCTCACCAACCTTGCGCCGAAGACGCGACCTCACTAGGGGGTCCGGCGGCATGCTCCCTTTTAATAAATTGGAAATCTAGACCATCTGAAACGCTATTTCCTGCATTTTGAAGGGCAAATTTTGCCGACACAGAGGGTTTCAGCTCGATTTTGGAGGGGCGACATCCCCCTTCCCAATATGGAAAATATAGAAAAACACTATGCAAACAAGATGTAATCAAAGTGAAGTGGGAAATCCCAAAATGTTAGTAACATTACGATGTTAGTAACATTACGATGTTATTAACATTACGATGTTAGTAACATTACGATGTTTGTTACTCATCTAACTAGTTTCAGTTTCGCGCTGTACTCATTTTTTTTAAATAACATTTTTTGTTTGTTTACTTGACAGTCACGTGACCACCATTGAATTTTATCAAAAATGACCCAGGATTTTAGGAAGTGTGAAATAAGAGCTTTAATAAAATATATAGTTTACTATAGGTCAGGGCAATTCTTATATGAAAACATCAAGCCTAATTATAACATCCTTAAACAATAGAGCTGTTTTAGCTCCATGATTTAGAAAATGTAATTCCTATCCAATGTTCATCTTCGATTATGATTATGATTTACAATCAGATGTATGTCTTCACCGTGACTGTTTATCAACTGTTTCTGGCAGTAAAGATTCATTACATCATATTTATTGTCGATGTTATTTGTATTGGGAGTGGAAGAAAAAATCTTGAAAAGCGTGGCTGTTAACTATTTGGCAGACTGGTAACTTAATAAATTTAATGGTAAATGTAACTACTTTTTGCGGAATGTCAAGCCATGGTATATCTACCAGGTGTGCTGGTCCTTCAACACCAGTTCACGTGACTCAGGTTGGCCTAGACTCAATGACGACAGTTTGGCGCCATATTCAAGCATCTAGTCCAATTCAGTAACTTTGCTTTCTGAAGGGTAACCCATCGTTAATTGTACCGATAAATGCATTTGTTACCATAACCCCCATTGCGGAAGATTGATGGCAATCTAATTATTATAAAGTTGTGCACTCATGACGTCAGGTAGAGTCATGTGACCCTGCACTTCTCATCTCCGTGAGATTATCCTTATAGATATGCAAAACTTTGCATTCTAATCATACACAAACGTTCCAATATCACAGAAGAACAATTATATAGCAAATCATTTAATAAATAATTATAATTAGAGCAGTCCTATACACATATTAACTTGGACACACTTAGACGTGCACAGTAATATAGCAATGAGAAAAACTTTGTAAATATTCAGTATTTATGGAAATATGCATACAAATGATAAAATATAAAAGTATGAGACATGAACATGAAACATGAGAAAAATATTATCAATAAAAAAACTTACACAATTCAACATGCACAAATCTATGGACGTGGTTTATAAATAAATAGTTAAATAACATTTTCATTATATAATCATTTATCCATGCATAAATTTTTACATTGGGAAAAAGGGTAATTGCTATTCCAGCACGTATGCATCATAGCATCCACTGTGGCGATAGTATTTAAATTATTAGCGTAGCGGGACTACGCAAAAATAATGCGTCAAAATAAAATAAGTGAATCGTGCGCCCTCATACGACACTTGTATTTGTTCATACTTATTCGTTTTTATGCTAAGTTGGTACATTTGTATTGGATTTCACATCAATCTGTGTTACTATTACATGGAAGGTGGCTACAACACGTGTTGTTATGGGGCTACGTGCATAGACTACTGTTCCGCGACTAATGTTATGGATGTGTGCCGTCTACATTGTTGTTTCGGGGCGTGGCTACCAGTGCAACATATGTTGTTTGGGGATTACGTTAGTAGCGTACACCATACGTCGTCTCAGGGCGTCGTCTGTACTTGCTGCAGTTTATGCAGCTCTCTTGGTCGTGGTATACGTTGCGGGGCGACCAGAGAGCTGCAGTTCCCTTCCCTAAAGAAATGCACAGATTTTTAAATATGCCAGTTATGTATCATTAAAATTGTGATTGTAATAAAATTACCTCGACTTGCAGGAAAAAATAGACAAATATGTTCTCACAAATATATCTGTTACTGATTACAGCAAGCTTTAAGCAAATTTGCCCGTGTAAATGAGACTATTTCACGTTAAAACTGTGCCGAAGTGAAACCTCCGATTGAACGCCGCCATTTTGAAGCCGACCTCTATCACGTGACTTGGCTCTTTTAGTGACGAGTGTAATCACGTGACTACAGCAGACGGCCATCGGCGCCTGTCTGGGACAGCGCTTCATGTGACGAAACAACGGCAGACGGCTTTTTATAATTTTAATTTCATTTCACCATTAAGTGACTCATCTTTTTTTGAAAAAATCAAATAAAGTACATGTATTATTAAAAATATTTTTTTTCAAGCAGTTTTATTTATATATTGTGAAAAATCTAAAAATAATCTTGTAACTTGCCAAAGAGTGTTACAAGTGACAGGAGCAGACAGCATGGAATTCACAAAGGACAAAATTGTTGAGTCTTTTGACCAGAATCTGAAAAATATTTTTAAATTTTACCTAAAAGCTCAACAAGTAGAAGGTACTACTTGTATTTTAAATAATTATACACACATTGGCCATATTACCAACAGGGTATGGCAAAAGTATGATGTATATTTTACCACCAATGCTCCTCAATATTATGCGGAAAGAGACAACAAGCCAACGGGGTAATGGGTTTCAGCTTTAGAACATTCACTAATGCATTGTCAACAGTTTCTGAGGTTTTAAGTCTAGATGCAATGGATTGCCTGCGATACCCTTTAACTTTCTTCTGGAACTCATCTCCACAATGAATGCAAGAACCTGCCATTCTCAATTTTCAGTTAAAATGTCAACTGCGCATGCTTCGTCATTGTCATGTCATCAGGTCACATGACAGAGGTCATCTTGAAATCCGTCGTTCAATCGATTAAATTACGTTCGGTCTAATTATACACAGAAATATATACTTTTCAAGAAGAAATAGTCCTTCATTTTCGGTCAGTAGATACCTAAGATGTTTGTGTTTGCAAGGATAACTTTTATTCGTTTTAAATTTCATTGAAATCGTTCGATAACATCAAAAATAGCGTGCGCCCCGGGATCCCGGGGCGGCGAACTGTGCGGTTCTCAATGAACGCGATCTGCAGCCCTATGACCGCAACGTAATACCAAAATTGCTTAAGCGGCCAATAAGAGCTGCTAAACTGCAGCAACGTCTGTACTACTGTTATGGGTATGTGAGTGCATACATGTTGCTGTAATAGTGGGTTGTGTACAATGGGCCATGGAAACTCCTCAGTAAAATGATGTAAATCTGGCGTACGGGCATTTCCGTTTGCGATGAGAGATGCGTGCTGAATCTAATTAGTAAGTTTTGAAACGTTCCAATAAGCACTGAAAAAATCAGATTGACGTTTACAGGTTAAGGTCATGTTGATCTGAATATTCAAACTGGAGGAGACTGATTCGGCAAGCTCGGCTAGCCCATACGATGTATGGATCTGCCCGGTGTCTTAATATTGTAAGATCAGTACGACTCAAATTGATCCATATCACAAATTCTCATATTCAGTCTGTCCCACAAGCGGCAGTTTTTGGTGATAAGATACAATTTCCATGTGGTTCCGGTATTACTTGAACGATTCGGGACCTTACACACGTGTACCTCATACTTGCCCTTCTATTTTTTTGTTTCTAATTTGTTTACAGTGACAGGCAGAACGCTGGCAACGTTGTAAACGTTTTAAAAAAAATATAGAAATGTTTTCAAATTGACCAATTCAGAAATAGTTTTGTACCACTGTCTTGAGTCCTAATTAATGTTAATGAGTAAATTATTATTTTTGAATAAGTGGGCGTGTCACGTGAAAGCGTGCATGCATATTATGGACGTAGACAGTGTTGATTTTTGAGCCAACCACTATTAAATATTTCAATTTGAATGAAAGATGGAGATCAGTATTTGTTTTAATAAATAGGTTTATAAACTAAAGCTTTCTGCCTTCTGTACCTTGTGGTATGTATGGTAAACACATGGTGCTCACTGATTTCTCCCCTGCAGTGCTTTTCAGTTTTAACCTTTTATTCAGTTATTTTGTTCTGGTTTTTATTCTTGCCATTAGTTTCAGTGCTCTTTACTTTATGTATAATGATAACTGTATGATGTCAAGGACATTCAAATCAATTGTAATAATTAAAACAGAAGTACAAAACATTACAACATATTGTCAAGGGCATCTTGACATTACTGTGTGCTCACGGATTTTATCATGGATAGTACTTTATATTCCAGAGAAGCCTGCATATGAAGTGTTTAATCCGACTTCAAATCTGACAACCTGCACCATCTACAAATATTTTTGACCTGGGGAAGACAACCAATCACAAACCCTCATCAGAAGTGTGTTACAAACTGAATAATTTAGTTGATCATTGCTAACCCCCCCCCCCCATCAGTTGTCAAAGATTGCATATGCTTTTCATCTTGATATTGACACCACACACACACACCCATAAGTATGAATTTAGACAATAATTAGCTCTGCAAATTTCCCAAACCAAAGACTAAAACCATATTACTGTAAAATCACTTGTTTTAGCAGGTAATCGTTCAAATTTAAACCAGTCTCGAGTAGTAACTGTTCACTCCCACTTCAAGTGCACAAGAAAATGACACTCATTAATACTAATAATTCAAACAATGAAATAGCATTGAACATTTATTTCACCAATAATAGACTCATATGGCACACCACCTGGAGTCTATTGTAGCTGTATAGCATTGAATATATACGAGGTATAAAGCCCAGAAATAAACCCAGTAATGGAGCATTCTGATTGGCTAAGTAATGGTGCATTTTGATTGGTTATAGATTACAATATTTGCTCTATTACTGTAGTGGTACATTCACTTGTTCAAATAGAAGTGCTGGTACAAGGGCAAGTAGAAGAAATCATACAAGTTAGTATATTTTTAGGATTGCAAATGTCACCATTGCTGTTGTCAGGAATTCGTAACTACACTTAGCCAAACAACTGTGGTATATTCACTCTCAAACGTGGTAACAAGTTGCAAGTGTGTTTTCATCTGAAGGGCATGAATCCCACACCCTTCACTGTCTTTTGTGTATGGCAATTTTACATGGTTATTGTAAAATTTATAATTTTGTTTGTATAAAGTGTAGCAGTTTACTAATCTGCATACAAACAAAGACACAAGTTTACGCAACCAGATTAAACCATAAAAACTATTTGGATTTATCAGTAAGTGTTTAAATAACTTGTTGGTTAACTATGTTATACCACAAATTTGGAGTATCACTGGCATTTATCATCGATTTCACTTTTTGTGCAGATGAACAGTGGGCCAATAATCAGAAAAAAAGACATGGCACACCTGATTACATGCATCTGTGTTTCAAGGCCACTTTGCATTTCCTCATAGCTCAGTTGGTGCGGTTCTTTTAAAAAGTAACAAGAAAGTTCCACTAACTTCAGTCTGAAAGTGTCTGAATAACTAGTAAATGTGAACAGTTTGCAATAAAAAAACTATCCAATTTACGAGTAAAGCCAGAGAGTTTCTGAGTAAGAAACTGACTGATTCTGGACAAAAGGGACAGTTACCAAATAAAGGAGGCATGGTTAAATCAATAGCGATGAGCCAAAATGTGGTATAACTAGGACTAAGAGAGTGGTAATGAAACAAACTACCACCAGTATTAAATAAATATTGAAAATGGAAGACTATTGTGAAAAAAAATAATGGAAACAATGATAACAGAAAGTATTTTTTTATTTATTTCTAAAATGATAATAAATTTAAATCATACGTTCATCACACATCGTTTTCTATCTTGGTGTCTTTCAATGGTTTTAATTTTTTGGTCAAAATAAACTCGCCATTATTTTTAAGCAGTGTATTGTCATAGTCTCCATCTTCTGGAAGGCCGTGTTTTAAAATGACAGGTTGTATTCGGACAAGGTGTTTAATGGCTTGTAACATTTCATTCACTGCAGGGGTATTCTTATGAATCACAACGTTGAACCTCTGAAAACAAAATATAATAAAATATTATCACCCCACATAGTCTACTGTTACATCAATGATCAACATCTTAGGTAGGGAAAAACGAGTTAAAACTTGACCTGTGATTCAGACATTCTTTAAAAGTTGCTAAGCATGCTTCTATAATAACCTATAAATTATTTGAAAGCTTAGATATATGCAAATATGGTACATATGCGGTATCAATGTTTGTCTAAAGGATTACTTGATGGTCAATTTTGTCATTGTTCTCTAATTTTTTACCATTTTGTATATTGAAAACACCATATTTTTAATATTATTGATCACATATATGCAATGCATTATGGGATAGAACTTCCCATTGTATATAACGGTAAACAATTATTACACCACAAACTCATTAAATTAAATATAAATTTTTTGACTTCTTACAAAAATATTAGGATTCATATCATTAATATAGGAAGATAACTGTGAGGACAGAACTCTTTAATACCTGCATTCTCACTAGAATGTGCTAATGTACGACTACTCCCACCAATAAATAGAACAATTTAATTACTAGTTACATTTGTAAACAGCTCACCATGAGAACACAACCTAAGTGTATAACAGCATTGTCTTAAACTGCAAAGTTAGTTTCTTCTTGTATAAATTATAAGATTCAGCAAGGAGAATGCAAATACAAGTATTACCAAACATTAATACTGAGAGATCAGTGAAAATATGAATATTGATTTCACTTCTACTCACCACATCCAATCCTAAATGTTTAATAATATTTCGCTCCCAATAAGGTCGCTTTGAAATGGCGTGAATTCTGTACACAGCATGTAACATGTGTGGTTCTTTGTCGTCATCCTCCAATTGTAATGGCGCTGGCTTAGCACGCACTTGACCTCTATGATGTGAAGTGTAGAAACATGTTCTCACTGGATGACATCTTATTAACGACCTCTCAGCCTGTAAGATAAAAATAGATGATATTGCATTTTGTGAATCACTGTAATTTTAAAGAGAAAGTCAATGCTAACAACATAATACTCCCAGATAAAAAAAGCTTGGCAAATGTAAGAACATGCAATTTACAGTTTTTTTATATCACTTTTCATTCTCTAGATATTCAACTTTCATCAATTATGTAGTCCGCCATCTTGATTCTTCAGCAAAGGATTATGGGTAGCAGGGATTGCGTTAACCCTATGTTATGCTTCCCAGACTCCAATTATTGAAGAGGGACCCAGTTTTTCAGGCATGCTGGGGTCCAATCTCTAATAAAGTTATCCAGGGTCAAATTTAAATTTCTTGAAATTTTGTAAGTGGGACTCGTCTTGTCGAGACACTAGCGCAAACCCTGATGGGTAGAGTATGACATCATAGAATCTGTTGTCAGAAATTGAGAAAATGATTTCATCTATAACTATAAGTTGAACTTCAAATTGGCTGAAAGTTTAGAACATGGTAGCATACATGTACTAGTGCCAAACATGCTTATAAAATAGTTGTCATGGAAACAGAACTGAAAATATTTATTTTATGTTTTTCTACTAAATGCTCAAATTCCCTTATATTGTATAGAATTCACCGATGTGAGTAGGTTATATAGGTGATATATTACCTATTGACCACAAAAATGGGACACAAAGTGTCATTCTATATTTCACGACTGAAATAACGATTTTTATTTTTTTAACATTTTTGACAATATCTTCCCCTTATGTGTATTTGTAACATTCTAATTCCCATTACCATAATTTAATTTATACATGAGTAACATGCACAACGAAAATTTGAACTAATTCGCTTCAGTATTTCTCATGTCTCAATTTCTGACAACAGATTCTATGACGTCATACTTTACCCATAATCCTTTGCTTGAGAAGATGGCGGACTACATAATACTGATGAAAAGTTGAATATCTAGAGAATGAAAAGTGATATAAAAAACTGTAAATTGCATTCTCCTACATTTGTGGAGCTTATTCTCGATGGGGTCACTATGTTGTTTGGCTTGATGTTTCCTTTAATACTTTGATATTTTTAAATCGTATCATACTATTATACTAATCATACTAGTGGAAAACACATTTTCAGTCACATAAATAACTTGTCAATTGCACATCTATCAACCGAACACGTCCCCGTACACACAGCACTGTACGCAGGGCTAGCCTTCACCATGCTAGTACAGCCAGATCTGAGGACCTTTGCCGGAATGCCTGGCTACGCTGCGTGGCGTGGATCGGCGTGGACGAGTTTTCACGCTCTCTGCACAGAATAAGCACAGTTATCAAGCATCCTTCTGGGGGGGGGGGGGGGTGCCCGGTGGCCGAGGGAAATACGTGCCGTGACGTGAATAGCAAACCTAATTATTTAGAGAATGTTTTGTATGGATCGCGGTCAAACAACGAGTGATGCGGAAAGGCCATTTACAGATTCAACTAGGTTTATGTAGGCTAGATGACATGGATTCTAGGAAATATTCACACATACAAAATAATACAAGACAACTTACCAAACGAACAACGTTATACACCGAATTTTTCCATAAAGCCGTGCACGTCGCGGCCATTTTAACACTTGGAGTACGCCCTCGTAATGCTTATTTACTGTCAAACGAGGGCGCAATTCCCAAGTATCTCGAATAACGAATGGGGATTTGTAAAGTTTTCACTTGGTGTATTTTCACTCAGTTGCAACAGGTTCAATAGGGAAGAGAATTGGAAGACGCGATCTGTACTTGTTCCCATGTCTGACACATTATACATCATGATTGTGAAGAAACATTTTTTTATGAATATAAACAGTTTATTTGACTAGATATTAAACTGTACTCTCACGATTCTTGATCTATTCATATTCTGTATCTACATATCCTCATCTGGCAAGCTCATTCGCTATCGCAATCCAAATTGTCTCCAATATGTAGATGACAACTTCCCATATCAATTATTTGTGCAATTCAACTGCCATAACAGAGATGCAATATACTGAATCTGAAATTAAAGCTTGGATTTCCCAAAATTCAACTGCTACCTTTGACATGTTTACCATGGCCACATTGGTTCTATTAGTGTGACTTATGACTTTATACTAATAATGGCTAATTATGATTGTATGCTAATGAGCCAGTGTCACGGGGCTTCAGAAGTGGGTCGGTGGCAGCCATTGTCGGGAGAGCCATGACAGTTCTTGGAGTTTTAAAATCACCCACCCACCCTTTAACTAGAGTTTTATTGAGTGTTATCAGAGATTGTTTTTACTTTCAGTTTAAAGATAATGTTTGTGATGTTTTTTTTTGTATGTTAGGATATGCCTGCCCTTCATGTTGGCAAAATAAAGCACAATTTAGCATTCACCGCCAATATCTGCATCCGTCTTCTTTGTGTATAAATAACTTCTACGCGTTACATTGAAGTAACATTTGATGTCAAACACACATTCAGGAAGCACATTGCCTTAATCTCTAGATTATAATGTTATCATCCTAGAACAATCAGCTGCCTATGCAAATTGTAATGCTCTTCTCTACGGTCGTCCTACCAAATATATCACACCACTTCAATGTGCTTAAGTCCAGAATAATGCGGCGAGAATTATTGTACGTGCCAGAATCAGGTTATATCACATGCAAGCTTAAAGTTTTACACTATCTGCCCATATAACACAGAATGATTCAGCTCAAGCCCTCAATTCGTGTACTTCGGACAAATGCCTACTCCATATGCCACTTTGTAATCATATAGTGAACGAGATTTCTCTCATGCATTTCCAACTTTGTTATGGAACAGTCTACCAAATTTGAGTACACCCGATATTAATAATTAGATATTTATTTGATCTCTCATTACTGTTTATAAACGTTTATGAAAATAACAATAATGGGTTTGTGGTACCATCGGATTGTAAAGAAAAAACAAATCGCACCCAGAAAGGAATTTATAAGTATCACGGTGGTGTATCTAATACACCTACTAATCTGTATGTGTAGACATCCTCTGATAATATTCATCAATTTCATGAAAAAAACGAAGACTAAATATGCTACAAACCACCACTTCACATAATATTCACATGACCTCAATAAAGCTTGAATTTTTTGTAATCAGCTTAGCCAGTCGTGCTTGCACTGACAAGGTTGGAAGAAGCGAAATGTCAAAAACTAAGGTTCTCGTGAGCCTGCAACCGTTCAGCGATGTTGTCACACATGGACTGTCTCGTAATTATATAATCTGTGTACATTAAATACAATCCTACCTAGTCGATTAGAAACCCAGCTGAACCTCATTTGCATATTCTATTGCGGTTATCTAATTTGGAAACGTAAAACCATTAGAAACTACGAAGGCACTGTGTGAACAATAGTTTTTGGCTAAAAAAAATGTTTTCGTAATGAATTTGCTGACTTAATGCGAACCAATTCAACCATTATATCAATAATAGAAATTAATTCATTGGCCATACGTCCATTAAACAGAGAACAACCTTCTTCCAAGCGTCAACAACACGGCAGCCTAATACTATATTTATAATAAGCTAATTTTGCGCCGCACCCACGTAAAGGTACGACGAAGTAAAAAGTACGTATTTATATTTGATTTGTTACAGTCTCTTTGCTAAGGCCAGACTTTTATTATCCCATGTTTCGCGAACCCGCCGAATGAACAGAAGCCGAAAATGAAATAAAATTAATATTTAATTCAGCGTAATTTCTCGCGCCCGCCGACTTGTAAGTACAAAAAATTGCTAAAAAAACTGATCTTTATCTTCATATTTTTTCCGCCCGCCGCATAACAAACCCAAGTTGCATTTTCGTGGGAGTATCATGATCAAAGTAGCAAAGTCTCGCGCAAATGGGAAACAAGGTTATACATGGAATCTCACTTATAATTCTTTGAGAATCACATAAATCTAATGGGAAAAAAAAGAATTAATTTTATTTTTGTTGCGCCCTTCTAAAAAAAAAATTGCCTTATAAAAACTCGAGAAACAAAGAATAAAAAAAATCTGGCCTAACTTAAAGAAAAACAAACATATACATGAATAATTTAAAGAAGAACCATTTAAAAAAGAAAAAAAGTTTGAAGAAAAGCCCAATAATATAATCTTATTTCAATCAGAGTGAGTCGTCGAACAAGGATTCAGGACAGTCGCATATCCCATAATACTCTGATTACATCGAAGTCTTTTGAATGGTACTAATACAAACACTAGTATCGGATTGTTTAATACAGTTTTATGACTATCTTTATGAATTGTTGAGATTTTGGGAACGAATTAATCATTGCTATACAAGGTCACATGAACTTTGCGCGGATGACGGGTTTAATCGTACACGGAACTATCTAGATAAGAAAAAAGTAAAACATGAATTGGAAAATGTCGTCATGTGATATTGAAACAACGCGCCAGAAATTATATTTAAAAAAATATTAAAAAGTGAGGTGCGGATTTATTTGTAAAGATACGCCAGTTTCAGTAGTTTGCCTTATGTCGCCTCACCTCCCGATATAAAACACCGATAACGAAAGCCTCTAATCTATTTCTGTTTACGTCGCCATGCCTACTAACGATCTATTGAAATGTAAGTCTCCAAGACCCGTCGGGATTCGTTTTTGTGGAATTTCATTTGTGGAATCGGTTTGTCAAATTTTTACAGAGCGGGTATGATCATAGAGATTACAGCAAAGTCGATGGCCGACAAACCCTCTTATTTAAAATCAAGTATGATGGAATACACATCGTGTGTGTCCATCATCTCCACTACATTACATCATATATTAACCCAGTATGTCCTTATACTAGTATTCCATGTATTCATAGGTGCACCGTTGAGCAAAACATACACAAACTGGAAAACACCTGGCAACTACTTATAAACGATTAGATAAGACACAGTCTGGAAGCCGAGTCTACTTGTAATCTATTACAACTAACTAAGCATTCTTAAAACAACTATAACTCTCTGCTGATGAAGGCGCTCACTGAATTCTATTACATATGCTATTTCATATATATTCACTAGATCTAGAAAATCTATTTTGATTTGTCGTATAAATAAGAACAGTGTTCGATTTTAGAATTTAGTCACAATGTGCCAAGTCTACTATGTGAAGACATGATCCTCACCATCTAAATTCATTCAGCATATTGAGATTTCAGAAAATGGCTGTTTGCATTACTAAGTCACTAACTGGGGTTGTCTGTGCTCATTTAGTTGTTCATTTTCGGAGTGGAGTTGTTATTTATTTTGTTCTTAAAGTTATGGGTCTCTTGGCCATGGGTGCCATTAATGTCTGGTCAGTATTAGATAAAACGTCTTTCTATTCTATAGACGATGTACTCATAATATTAGTAAATATATCCTACACATTTGTTGAATTAAATCAGGTTAACCAATACACCATGATTTCAATACAGCGCGCCCTCTGGTGATAGGTACCTTAGTGTAACATGTAAATGACGTAAGGCCAGACTTTTATTATCCCTTGTTTCGCGAACCCGCCGAATGAACAGAAGCCGAAAATGAAATAAAATTAAAATTTAATTCAGCGTAATTTCTTGCGCCCGCCGACTTGTAAGTGCAAAAAAATGCTAAATAACTTATTTTTTCCGCTCGCCGCTTAACAAATCCAAGTTGCATTTTCGTGGGAGTATCATGATCAAAGTAGCAAAGTCTCGCGCAGATGAGAAACAAGGTTATACATGGAATAAAAATTTATTTCATTTCTTCTCTCCGATCAATGATCTCACTTATAATTCTTTGAGAATCACACAAATCTAATGGAAAAAAAGAATTATTACTAATATTGGTAAAGGCATGGACGGTAGAAGGACGTCCTTCAACTTTACATTGTAAAGGCAATATCGTTCAGATCGAGCACCGTGCTTGATCGTGTGGTCGTTCGTCAACTATCATAAAGTATGCACTTTTTATTTATTATTATTTGTTTCTGTGTTAATCATAGATGTTTTCAATTAGTGGTGTGCTCCCTTTCCCAAAGAAGCTGGGATATTAAAACAAATAAAACAAATAAGCAAACAAACAAACGAACAAGCGAACAGACAGACAGTTTGTTTATGAGTACTGGTGTTTCCATTGAACTCTACCTTGGATCAAAAGACTGCCTTTTACCCCCATGCTTGAATTAAGTTGCGTACATTCAATATAATTTTGGTGAAAAATTCTAGGATATACTGTCATTTTGTTCAAATTCAACTACCTAGATTCTAAGAACTTATTTCTGTACTCAATCATTGTTGTTATGGCAACACACACATTTTCCCTCGCTGTAGGCCGTAAACAAGTCAAATAAATATGAACTATGTTCACACGAGAACATTTAGACATGAATTAAAACATACATTGTATTACACGGTTTGCGCTCGCAGTGATGTCACAAGCGGTACAGCTTTTCTTATGCTGCGTGGATTTCTAGCACATAGAGTAAGCATAAACACGATGTCTTTACGTCCGTTGTCCGATGAGGTCGTCAGTAAGATATCTTAAATTAATCATGTGTCTTTGCGTTGAAGGCCGTATTGCATTTTAGAACATATCTGGCATGCGTCCACGTCACCATAATGAAA